TGAACAGGAAGTAGTAATGCAAACGGGCAGATTCAAGGATATACCTCAAGTAATAAAAGACTTGATAAGGGAAAAAAACAGAGCTAAACAGACAGCAAGAAGAACAAGAAACCAAGCAGACAAAAACAGAGCAAATCGGTCAAAACAGCACTACAACAACACCGTAGTGAAAGCTGAGAAAACCACATAAGGGACATGGAAGATCAAAGTCCAAATATGCAAAATATTTGGAAACTGCAAAAAATCCTACGAAGTGACAGAAAACCAATTCCCCCACTACACGGAGAAAATGGTATAGTATACAGCACAGAGGAAAAAGCAGAGGTAATGAGGAGTACTCTCGAGAGAGAGTGTACATTAAATTACCACCCAGACGAAGACATCGACTTCATAGAAGAAGTCGAAAGACAAAGAGAAAGACCGGAAAACCCAAACGAAATTATCCCTCCAACAACACCGGAGGAGATAAATGAGCTAATCAAGAACAGCTCACCAAAAAAGGCTCCCGGTCCAGACCAAATTACGAACAGAGCTCTAAAGTATCTACCAGCAAAAGCCATTGTTTATCTAACAAACATCATTAACGCAATGCTAAGGTTTAAAAAATTCCCAAATAGATGGAAAGAGGCCCATGTCATAATGTTACCGAAGCCCGGAAAAGACAGCACATTCCCACAAAATTACAGGCCGATAAGCTTACTATCAGCAAAATAGTAGAAAGAGTGATACTCAGCAGACTCCAAGCTGAAACAGACAGACTAAACATCATTCCAGAAGCCCAATTTGGCTTCAGATCAGAACACTCTAGCGAGCTACAAGTACTCAGACTAACAGAGTACATAGCAGCAGGATTTAATGACAGACAGTATACAGGAGCTGCATTCCTGGACGTAAGTAAAGCTTTCGACAGAGTCTGGCACAAGGGACTACTATACAAAATGAGAGATTACGGGTACAGCGGAGCAATGACAAGGCTGATCTCTTCTTACTTGAGCAACCGCAGTTTCAGAGTCCGGATAGGACAAGTCCTATCCGAACTCGGGAACCCGGAAGCTGTAGTACCACAGGGAGCGGTACTGTCACCTCTGCTGTACACGATATACACAGCAGACATACCTAGAACACCAGGTACATTATTAAGTCTCTATGCTGACGACACAGCGATAGCGGCCAAACACCGAAATGTAGACATAGCAGTCACAAATCTACAGACAGCGTTAGACGACATTGAAGAATGGAGTCTAAAGTGGAAAATCCAAATCAATTCAGACAAGACACAAGCTGTACTCTTCCAAAAGAGGCGAGAACAACCAGAAGAACAGGTCACAGTGCAAGAAAATCCCATTGAGTGGAAAAGCGAAGCGAAATACCTCGGAGTAATAATGGACAAAGGACTAACTTTCAATAAACACGTAGAAGCCACAGTACAAAAAGCCAACATGGCAAGGGCCGCAATAAGAGGCCTAGCGGAAAGGAAAAGCAAATTACGTATAAAAACCAAAATAAGGCTAATAAACAGTATAGTCCTTCCTATACTGACATACGCATCACTTGCATGGGGACATATATGCAACACAACGCAAAAGAAAATACAGGCACAACACAACAAAAGCCTAAGAGAAGCGGTAAACGTACCAAGATACGTAGCTGAAAGATTCCTTTTCAGAGAGTTACAGCAAATCAGAGTGACTGACACAATGAAAGAAAAAGCTAGGATAAAATTCGCAGAACTAGAGAACCACCCCAGCCACATCCTACGAGAGATAATGAGGTATGACGCTTTCCACAGATGGAAGCACAAAAGACCAAAACAACAAATATTAGACTAACGCAAAACCAGAGGGAAAAATAAAAAACCCCCCAATAGGGACAAAATATTACAAAAAGCCCAGAGTGAGAAGAAAATCTAATCAAAACACACACACACACATAAAGAAGACAGTTCGTAGCTCAAATCACCCAGAATATCGCAAATCGCCTCATTCACAGTGGGCCCTGTTGCTCACACTAGGATGCAGTCTACATTGTGGTAATGTATAATATTTAAATATTTTCTTTATTATAGTGTAGACTATGTACTAATTATGACTTTTCTTTTCACAGGTGACCTACAAAAAAAATCATAAAAAACACAAAAAACGGCTTCGGCCACCAAAAAAATTAAAAAACACTAACAAAAACCGGCTTCGGCCACCAAAAAAAAACTAACAAAAACCCCAAAACACGGGCACGTAGGGCCCAACCCCCTTGAGCACCAAGTCGCCGAACTGAGCCGGGACTCAGAGCGGAGACTTGAGGCCCAAGTAAGCAATTTTAGTTCGCGGATAAGCTACATTAAGATAAACAGGAATAAAGCGGAGATGCGCTGTCCTGAGTTTTCACATACGGTTAGGAAACCATGTTGGGGTTCAATTACCCAGGACCTCCACATGAAGAGCACTTGGCTGATTGTTGTGCCTCTATAGCGAATCAGATTGCTATAGGGGGGAAAGGGATGGTCTAGAGCATTGGAGCACGGTGGGGTGATTCCTCTTTTTAAACACGAATTAAAACACCTTGCTCCAATGAATTGTTACACCCGATCGTACTACCTGGGTGAACATGTCTCATAGGCTGGGTTCAATCAAATTGCTTGCTTGCTCAATAAGTCAGTCCTTCACGGGCTCTCCGAGAGCTCAGTGCTCTCGGGGCTCTGCTTTTCTTTTAGCCCTACCTTTACTCTGTGGCCGAGTTATTCTACAGTACTTTGGTGTTTTATTTCGACCTTCATTTGGTTATGTAAGAAATAACTTGCCTTTATCAAGGCAAGTCACCGAGAGAAGAGAACCTGATGGTTTCGACTTAAATATTTTTTTGTCGTGTAAGAAAGAACCCGTCTTTTTCAAGACGGGTACATTAGCTGAAATTTCTACAAGTCTGTACCCAGAAAATAGTCTTGGATAGAGGTGCTTTCGTAGACGTTCTCGAAGCCCTCTACAGAGCACCCAGAGGCAGATGATTGACATTAAAACTTTTTATCACGTCCCCTGCGGTGACAATATATTCAATACAATATACAGTACTGGTATAATACCTCCAGAATGGTTGCTGTCTACGTTTGTCACCATACCGAAGAAAACTAAGGCAATGCAATGTTCAGATCATCGAATAATTTCTTTGATAAGTCATCTGCTTAAAATATTTCTTAGAGTCGTCCACAACCGAATCTATCAAAAGTTAGATATCAATATTAACGATACACAGATGGGATTCAGAAAAGGATTAGGTACAAGAGATGCTCTCTTTGCCTTAAACGTCCTAACACAGAGATGTCTAGATATTAACCAAGAGCTACACGCCTACTTTATAGATTTTGAAAAGGCCTTTGACAAAGTACGCCACAATAAACTCAAAAAATCCTGGAGGGTAAGAACATCGACACCAGAGACATACAAATAATATTAAATATGTACTGGAATCAGCGAGCTGATATAAAAATAGAAGACCAAACATTGGACAAAATAGAAATACATAGAGAAGTACGGCAGGGTTGTATATTGTCACTGCTCTTGTTTAATATCTACAGCTAACAAATATGCCAAGAAGCTCTCTCACATGCAAACGAAGGGGTAATAGTCAATGGTGAAGTTATCAATAACATTCGATATGCTGACGATACTGTAATAATGGCAAGAACAGTGGAAGATCTAGTTGAAAGTATGAATGAGTATATTTCTCAACAACTGCTAATAGTAATATTTACCAGGGGCAACCTTGTTAAACATTTATCGATATTTTTCAGACATGTGTATCCAACTTGGGCCAATACTTTGGTCCAAGTTGAAAATTTTCTCTTCAGTTGTGGGAATCATTTTCATGACGCGACGATAAAAGAACACTGTTAATATAACAGGTCTAAATTTTGCTACTGTTTATTTTGGAGAATACCGATATACTTAATGATTTCCAAATATTTGGCGAAGAGGCTAATTTCCTTAAATAATGTACCTACTTTAATTTATTATAATTTTAATATATTAAATATCCTACTCAATTTCTCAAAAATATTTTAATATCAAACTTCGCGCTAAACTGTTTTCTATGAGACGATAACTCCGAGATACTTAATCTCTTCTTCTGATACTGATAGTGTTGTTCTATTTATGCTCGGAGGTGAAATTTTTAATTTTTTCTTGTAAAAGAATAAATTATTGATGAATTATGAAATTATCGTAAATAAAAAGAGAAGAACTAACTACCTCGGAAATTATAACTACTGAAAAACATTGGATAACTAAAGTTACGAACAAAATATTTCAACCACTACCAAAAAGGCAGAAAATTAATAGATGACTAATAAATTATTATAAGAGATGGATAAAAGGAGGATACTGAAAGACCGAAATCCCACAAAATATTTGCACGAGATTAAAAATAACTATAAAAAGTCTATAAGGAGGTATGTTTAACCACCGACCGTGCAAAGAAATGGAAAAAAACTAGATCAAAAACATGAGACGTTTAAAGAATTTACTGAATTAAATACATCGTTTCAAAATCTTTAAAAAGACAATGTAAGGCATCTATGATGGATTTGCCTGATCGATAGGTAAATTGTTTTTCGTGAAACAATATAGTTGATAATTATTTCATTCTTATGTAGGAGTTAAATATTTTAGGTACATATTTTTTAGAAATAGAAAGGTTAGGCTAATAGATATATGTTACTTTGGTAATGCTGAAGGATATTTGTCACACAACAAAGTAACTTGTCGCAATTCGTATTTAAAACTAGGTGAAAGGCTGTGCTATTTAACCTAAATTATCAATATAATCAATAGATCAAATCAATAGATGATAGGAAGTTATAATGACTAATGGTGACAGCGTTAATATTGAAGTACTCAGTTTGTCGAAAACACTGGGCTTACGAGAAGACTTAGAACAAAAATCTTTCCACCTTGTTTAAAGATTTTCATTATTTTAACTTTCAATTTTATATAATAAATAAATATACTTACAAATTATCAATAGAGCTGACTGGTGGATTTACAGCTACAGTAGGTCTTGTAGAAGGTCTTGATGGTCGTTGAATAGGTCTTTCAATAGGTGTTTGAGTACTTAATGGAATTGTCAATTCAGGGCTTGTAAAGTACATATCAGTACTTGCTGGAGCCTCGGTCGTCGCTCCCTTTTCAGGACAAACGGTTTTGGCGTTAAGACGAATTTCCACCAACTTCGGAGGTGGTTGACTGGGGTCGTATTTAATATAAAAGCGAACCTTTGTAGGTACATTAGCTAGTAGCTTCTTGTTTGGAGCTTGAATTTTGTACATAGTATTGTCTTCAGTCTTTACGATACCAAACCAGTTCTAGAAGACAAAAAGATTTATTTGACTACGTTTACAAATTTTACATTTGTTTGAAGCAAGTCAATTTTATGTAGAGGTAAAAAAGATAATATATAATATACACAAAATACAATAGTAGGTAGGACATTGTATATATTATAGTCAATTGAATTTTTGTGTGATTTACTCAAACTATACTTAACTGTTCTGATGTTATTTGCACCTCTTGTGCTATACTTATGTAAGTCAGAGTGTATAATTAAGGTATCAGTGTTTTTATGTATTTCTACATTACGACTGTATAGCCATAATGTTGCCAAGGGGAATGTCTTGTCAACTGTTATGCCCAACAATTTGACAATATTTTTTGCAACACTCACATCGAAAGTAGACGAAAAAATTAGATTTTGAGTTTTGTTATCATTTAGTTTAAGTTTATTTGCTAAAAATCATGATTGAGCATTGGATTTATATACTCAGATGTGGTTTCTAAAACTGAACGATTTTTATCAGAAAAAAACAAAAGTAGTGTCGTATGCAAACAAAACTGTTTTAAATGGAGCCATGAAATTGGACAAGTCATTAACATATATTATAAATAATAGAGGGTCCAGAACTGATCCTTGTAGTACTCCATGCTTTATCTGCTTAAATTCATAGAGACAATTTCCATACTTGACTGCTTGATATTGTTCTGAAGCTATTTTCTTGTGGCATTTTAAATTAATTACTATTTAACTGGGAATAAGTCACAATTAAAGATAAAAATACGTTTATTGACGTTTAAATTTACACTTCGGAAATCGTCCTCAAAATACAAACAGTAAATTTAAAAAAAAAAAAAACAAAATTTGTTTAATTTACTGTTTGTATTTTGAGAACGATTTCCGAAGTGGAAATTGAAACGTCAATAAACGTATTTTTATCTTTAATTGTGGCTTATTCCCAGTCAAATAGTAATTGACTGCTTGGTATCTATCCTTTAGATACGATGAAATTAGTTCCAAAGTAGTACCTCTTATACTGTAAAAATGCAGTTTTTTTAGCAAAATATTATGAGAAATGCAGTCGAAGGCCTTTGAAAGATCACACAGCGCTATGGCAGAGTGACTATGGTTTTCAAGGCCATTATTTATGGCACTCATCACATCTAAAAGTACATGTGTTGTGGAACAATCCTTTCTAAACCCATATTGTGAACCATTGGAAATTGGTCTATAATTGTCTACAAGGTCACGATCGCCCTTTTTAAAAATGGGAATAATCTTAAAGTATTTAGGGAGTATTTAAATGAAGTTGGTAATATCCCTTTTGAAAAAATACTATTAATAAGAGGCGTTAAAGGTTTAGTAATTATTTCACTAGTGCTTTTGATAAAATATGCGTTTAGCTCATTAGCATCCAAACAATTTGAATTTTTTAATGTTTTTATAACTGCGGACACTTCTTGTTGATTGGTTGGAGACAGAAAAAATGAATTGGACGATGGAGCTGGAAATTTTTGATAGCTCAAAATTGGGTTGTCTGGTGTATTTCGAAAAGATTTTATAATATGCTCAGTAATTTCAACAAAAAAGTTATTGAAAGAGTCACTAGAATATGTTAGTTGTTGAAGAATGTAAATCATTTGTTTTATTTCGCTCATTTAGACTTCTATACCGTTAATATATTCTTTAACCTTTAATTTATTATAGTTAATAAAGCCTTTCAAGTTAATTCGTATTGATTCGTTCTATGAATATAAATAAAATTGCTATTTCTAGTGTGATTAGAACAGAACCATATTTGGATGGATACGATAATGGCTGTCTATTTGTGGAACTGTTAGTTGTTTGCTGCCAATTCGTTAACTCACCAGTTCACCTTCTATCTTAGTCAGATATATAAAGGCCAATATACTCAGATGGGCAGGACATGTGATACGCAGTAACGACAATCGCCTTATAAATAATGTGTTTTGGAAAAGGCCAGATGGAAGAAGGTCTGTAGGGCGGCCTAGAAAAAGGTGGAAAGATGCAATCAGAGAAGATCTAGAGAAGATGTTAGTGCGACAATGGGAATTACTGGCACAGAACCGACAAACATGGAAGGCAATAGTAAACGCGGCAAAGACTCACGAAGAGTTGTAGCGCCATTGATGATGATGATTATGACTAGTTCACCTTCACCCTGGACATGTGTTTAGTTTAGTTTATCATACTTCACTTTACATTATCTTATCTTATCTTATCTTATCTTAACTGGGAGAGTTATATTATGTCTTTATTACCTTATCTTTAGTAAGGTGTGTTAATCGTTTGGAAATTCTCTGGTTAATCTCGGTTGAATATGTCAACAATAAATTTGATGTTCATCTTTAGATTAACTTAGGTGCTAAAATCCAAATTAATAGTGAATATGTAGGCCAAATAGTTGGTTTTTATTATAGTTGGGTGGATACTTTGTTTAGTCAGGATTATCTCTTGTTACAAGTATCTTTAGTTTACATTGATATTAATTTGGGGTTATATGTAATCTAAGCAGACAATGTAAACCATATAATGATTTAATTTTGTTTACCTATTAGGAATATTTAAAACCTATTAAGACTTACTTTACGTGCTGGTTGAGAATAAATATAGAGTTGAACCGAATCCATCAACTCAACAAGAATACGTTCTTTATAAATAAAGTCTGGATGAAGACCATCATACTGGTCTTTGTCTACGCAAACTTTACTTTACTTTACTTCCCCTTATCGCGAGTTCCGTAAACCGTGCCCGGAATCTTGGAAACACCCTTGATGCACTCTTGTGTTGGATCCACAACCCGCAAATTGATGGTGTTGGTGTCAAATTGTTGTACCCGCACTCTTCCATACTTGAAAAGCATGAGAAGTGCTGTGTTCATTTTTCTTGTGTAGATATACAATGTCAATTGTGAATATATATTCACTCTAGCCAAAGTTTAAAGTTAAGCATTTAACCATAGGTTAACTTAGTTTATTTATCTACTAATCCTAGCTTTAAATTTGTGAGGTGGTTGTACCTCTTAACCAGTACTAACGTACTAACCTTTTTCAAGAATAAACTCCGTATAAGTTAATCGGAATAATTTTCTAAAGGAAAATTATATCGAGTGGAGGGGGAATGTAGCACTACACTACCGTAACCTTAACAATTTCCATATCAATTAATGTATCGAGCAAAAAATAACTCTAATTATACTGACTAACTACTGAACTGAACGTCTTGTTAAAAATCAGTGCTAGCTGGCAAGCGATTTAAAGCAGAACTAGATGGGAATAGATATAAACAATTAAGTAGAAAACAAAACTGGCAGACAAGAATAACAATTAATAAAATGAATTAAATAAGGATGTGGAAATATTTAAATGAGAATTCATCCAACTCTAGTTGAATAAAACTATGAAAACAGTCGTCTGGTGAGTAAATTTTTGTACAGTTTAAATATGTAGGAACGACATGTAGATAAATTATTTATTTTATTTAATAATAATTCAAATTTAGTGAAGCTAATGCTAGAAATTTATTACTCAAATATTATTTTTGATTTAATTGTGTAAGGTGATTATCCCATATGCGTGGATGAACAACGTTCAGTATCTTGATAAATCGGTTTGCCTCACCTTGTATCCACGGAAAAAAATTATAGATACTTATAGGAACTTTTTTTAGCCGTACTTAGTAAATAGAAAAAATACAAGTAAGCCCATATAAAACAAACCTCAAGAACGACAAAAAATAAGGAAATTGGAAGGTAAATCTTACCGATCACCCATTTTCATAGGGAAATATTATTGATGTAAGTGGCCTACAAACTACCATTGATTGGGAGCAGTATATATCTGGAGTTGCCTAAGGATAAGTGTCTCTAATTCATTCTTATGTACTGTACTATTGGTTAAACAACGTAAATACTTTGTCAGTGTTAGTAACTAATCTATTTGAAGTTTAAATTTTTCTTGTTTAGTTCGCATCAACCATAAAGATTTAAATCAACTTTATCTTTTAATTTCATTTTATATTCACCATTTTATTTATATAATTGATTGTACATTGTACGATATTATTTTGCATCACCGAATGCATGTAAAGGGGTATAAGTACTTATCGACCTAAGCATTGGTATTTAAATAAAAAAACTTTTATTAAGCTAATTAAGTGTTGTTATAACTATAATTTTCCATGGTACAACCATGTATGCGCTCAGTCACTAGCACTCAAAATTTTCTGTCTGTATCTTGTTGAATTTTTGATACGGAATCACTCAGGTTTTCTGTTTTCATTTTATCACATATTGTACATATTGCGTTTTACTTTACCTACACCTGGTCTCTCTGAGCTACTTGGGTTTTAAATAGTTTTTAGATTTAATAAATACTTTTATCATTTATTACTATACTCTAGCACTCCCACTGTAATATCACCGGAGTAGAAGTTCCAACAGACCTTTACTCCTGGCGCCCATTCTTTTTTTGTTATCAACTCCTTTCCTCTTCAGTGATCTTCGGTTTTTATCTGTTGTTTCTTTTTCATCATCTATTGTTTTTCTAACACGGCACGAAAAGCTAGCCGATCTCCATTTCCTGAATATTTACGTCTCATCCTCTTATTGTTCTCTATCTCTCTCTCACTCACTAAATTTTAGTTAACCAGCTTGACCATCCGGTCACTTAAATTCCCTTCCAATTAATATCACTTGCCTCTAATTTCTCCCCATTTTCTTAATTTCTTTAATTAAATTGTTAAGCCTGGTTTTTTATTTTGCTTTCTTTCGTTTTCTTTTTCTTTCGCCAATCTAGTCTTTTACCTTTTTTACCAAAAAATAACCTTATAACCCCAAGTTATAAGGTTATATCATCTTTTAACGATACAGACATCTGTCATTTGTTAACCCCTCCCTTTAGTACCACAAACCCTTAATTTTAAACAGTGAAAAGATTATGTGCGGCACATCGTTAGACGGTTATTTTGCTGGAAAATTGAGGTATCTTTGATTTTTCTCGATGAACTCTATTCTTGTGAGTGAGTGGATTAGTCACTCAATATCAGTTTATTTCAAGTGTTACACTTTTTAAAAACTAAACGTAACGGCTATGTTTTGGTAGGGTCAATTTCAAATTGTTTCCATTACGTAAGGCGAGTGGTACAATAATGTAGAAAAATCAAACATAGCAATGGATAATAAAGGCCTTTATGTAGTGCCCAAACGGCTTAACGTACAGCGATAGGTGAAGTGTCAGGTGACAGGATTTAACGAATTAAATTAAATAATATAGAAAAATCAAACATAATATCATGTCATAATTACGTATCTTAATGCCTATTGAACCGGTCGTAACGCATCAGGGAACACCTGTTTTATAAAATAATTCCTTGTTTATGTAATTTTGTGCAAACAATTGTCTGTACTAGGCATCTGATGACCCTCGGGTAATCATCACACTAGAGTTAAATGTTAATGGTATCACAGTATAGGCTGGAATTTATGCGGTTTTGTCGGCCTACATTACAAGGAATAGGCATGGATTTAAAGGAAGAACTTGACAATAATCCACAGTTAGAAGCTCTTCGATATTTTCAGTAGTACAGAGCTCCGCCTCACTACGGATTACAAGTTCTTTCCTAGATGGCCTGCTTATAAGCCAGACTTAACGCCGTGTGATTTTACTTTGTCGGGAGCGCTTATCGATAAAGTGTTTGTCACCCCAATATGAAATATTCAGCATTGAAAAGGAATGATTGAAGAGTAATTCGAAATTTGCCGTGCTAACCAGGAGTTCTGTATGAAGACCTGTTTTGGCGTGCTCTAGCGATGTCTAAAATGCTTTGACAAAGACAGTTTGAAGATTAAGCCAAAAATGTAGAGCTGAACTATATTTTGTATCTTTATTTAAGTTTTTTTACTAATAAACTAAATTTTTGATTCTCTCCATTGTTTTTTTTTTAGTTTGCAGAACGGTTAAATGACTTTTGCCGCACCTTGTATATAAAATGTGCTTATTTATCTGAAATTCTATTGATTCGAATAGACGTTGGAAAACAAGTATCATGAGTTTTATTCATATGCAAAAGACATTTCAAACGATTGTCTAAAATTATAATAAATTTTAAATTTGAATGGTACAAATAAAAACTTTTTTGTACCGGGTTTTACCAAAAGTCCTAGAAAAGTTTTTATTTGTAGTATTATTTAGATATTCATTTCTGTTCTGCTTGTATATAAATGTGTGGTGTATGGTATATCCTTTATCGTTATATAACTGATTGAGTAAAATGCCAATCAATATTAAATTGTCTTGATAACAAGAAATTACTTCTGACAGGGTAATTGATTATAATATGTAAACGCGCAAGAAAAATTTAAATACATTTAAAAATATGGAACACCATAATATACATACTAGAACTGAATAAGAAAGAAAACAAAGAACGTGAACATATAAATCGAGACAAGACAAGAAAATTCTGGTATAACAGTACCGAGAAAGAAAAACAATTTACTAAGGTAAAAGAATTTGCTTTCGTGGAGGATCTTTTAGACGTAATTAAGCATATAATTAAAGTAACAAAAATAAAAGATAACTATAAATAACCCACATTTCTTACCGTTAACACTCTGCATATTGAAGAGTAAAGATGTTCTCGATATATGGGAATCTACGTAACTTTTTCATCTGCCTATCTACCAATCCTTTTCTAATTCACCCTCTCGCATTTCCAATCTAATAATCTTTCCTTTCACTTTTTCTTGGTCGTTTCTCTTTGCCATATTCAACAGTTTTTTTGAATTTATTTGATTATATTTTGCAATTTATTAGATATTCTTTTCATCGTTATTCTCTGCACATGGCTATATCATCTAAGTTGTGTGGTTTTCACTTTGTCAATAATTGTACGAATTTACATTTCGTGTTATTAATGGCAAAAGTGTTAAATATCATTGATGGTCTTCCCAGAATTCCAGTTCCACATTCTTAGGTCCCCTTTTGAATTTTCTGTTTATTAGCCATTTTACCGGAAAACGCTAGTGCATTACAGCGTACTGAATATCAGACATTTTACAAAATTAGTAAGATAATATGCCTTCGAATATACTAGAAATGTGAAAAGGCTGTGGAAAAAACACAGTCGACATTAAGAGACTCAATAGATACGATTACTACTTTTAATGGGAATTAGTTACAATTTAAGTTTAAATCAAGTATATTTTTGACGTTTCGATTTCTACTTCGGAAACCGTTCTTTCGGAAACATTGATAAATTAAACAAATGTTGTGTTTTTCTACTTTATATACTAAAATTCTTCAATTTGTTGAATTTTATTGGACTCAATCATTATTGACAATTCAGACACATGTTATACATTTTAAAGTACACGACTTTAAAGTTATATTGAAAATATTGCTGAGTTGTATTCCTGGGACGACATTATTGTAAAGTAGTTCATTCGATTACATGATGTCAACTTGAGAATATCCATCAGAAAAAATCATACCATGTCATTCTCCTGTTCATAGTAAATCATGAGGAAAAAAACCTTGTAATGCTATCCCGACATGGTAAGTATTTTTTCTTATCTTTTGTTTACTCTCAATAAAAACCTAACTCTGATTTTATATGAATGTTATTTAAAAACATCAATGATGTATCTTGATATATGTTACTGACTTCTTTTATTATGGTTAACCAGATCCTACTGCATTCTGCGGAGTAATTTGTGACGCAGTTGGTCTCATTTAGCATAACTAGATGTCTTTGATTTTTATCTTTTTATTGTCCGTTTCTTTAAGGGCTTATTGAATGGTTCCATTGAACCCTAAGTTCACGATGATTATGATCACTGAGCTGTCAATTTCTCTTTGACGAAGATTAAGGTGACCTTAAACATAAGCGATGGCACCCCACATCATAATTCCAAACAGTGCGGTGCACGTGAGATTCTTTCACCACGTCGTCTTCTGACCCTGACTCAGCCATTATGCATCCCTACACAGAATCGAGATTTATCACTTAGATAACTCCAGTCCATTCCTGGTCTCAAACTAATTGGTATTTGCACTATTCAATATTATTTCGTCTATGTTCAGGTTTAAGAGGTAGCACTCAGTGCGAGCGAAATGAAAAAAGGCCAAACCTGCGAATTTGACGTTAGATTGTTTCCATTTATTTAGTACAGAATATCGTCTCCGTACTTCTCGTACTTTTCGATTTTCTTGATCAGCCGTCTTGATGTCATGTTCGATAACGTATTAACACTACATCTAAAATTCTGTGAACCCATTTGCAATTTCGCGAAATTTCTGTTAGTCCAACTACCAAGCAGAGGTATATTGCAATGTTGATTTTTTTAGATTTTTTTATAATCTGTTGAACGTTGAAAAATTGTTTCCTACTGCCACGTGCGGGGATGAAATCTGCTTGTTTCTCCGCAGTTTCAGAAATGAAAAGGGCTTTATGTAGTGTAGTGAACTATCATTATTATATCTGAATTTTTATTAAATATTATACAACCATTTACAAATAAAATGACACATTTTAAAAAATACACAACATTTTTTAAATAAATTATAGAATATTGAATTTAATTCAAATAATATTTTAGTAAGTTTTGACATAAATAGTTAACTTAAAATGTGAAATTAGATAAGACTGAATATAATCAAGACAAAATTAGAGAATGATGATACGTTGGCAACAACTAGAACAAGACTAAATGTATAAGCTATGTTGGAATTATTGACATTATGTACTGAAAATACCTATTTTCAACTAAATAATCAATCCCATAACAAAATTTTGTCTAGCAATAGGCTCTAGTTTGTCTCCACTATTGACCGATATATTTATGAAAGATTTTGAAACAAAAATTATTTTTAAACTAAATTTAAAACCCACAGTTTGGTGAAAATATGTAGATGATGTATTTTCAATATGGCCTCATGGATCAGAGCTGTTGGACCCATTTCTGAATGACATAAAAGATAAAGAAGAGACAATAACATTTGCCATATAAAAGGAATATAATAGCACACTACCTTTACTGGATGTTTTAATTTCTAAGAACGATACTGGATATGAGACTCAGATGTATATAAAACCAACACTCACCAACAGATATCTCAATTACAAATAAAATCTCAATATAAATATTAAAAAGGGTATCATTAAATCCTTATGCGATAGAGCCAAAATAACTTGTTTCAACGAAAATTCGTTCTTAGAGGAAAAACGTTTGTCAACATCTGTTTTATTAAAAAATGGATATCCTTTCTCGCTTATTAATATGGAATTTTCAACAATCGACCGAATAGAACAGAATAACTTAGAATGAGATCCTACAGCATACAGAAGGAATAATACGAGGAAAATAACAATACCATACATAAAAGGATTATCAGAAAAACTTAAAAAGATAGGAATTAAATTGAACATTTCAACAACATTCAAAACAACAAACGCATTGAGATCTATTTTATCTACAACCAAACCTAATAATGAACAAGAAAGAACAAAGAATTGTATTTATGAAATAACTTGTGAATGCGATCAGTTTTATTTAGTGAAACATCAGGGTCACTAAATGTTCGAATAAGTGAACATCAATCTTATATTAAAATAAAGAAATAGATAGATCTCAAATATGTAAGCAAGCATGGCAAAATTAAGATTGGGTTCAACGGAACGACTCAAATAGAGTCTTAAAAGAAGCAGATGGTAAAAAGAGCAAAATCAAAGCTTCTCTAATAATGATAAATGAGACTAATTGTGTAGCAAATTCCTCGGCAGAATGCAGTAGAATCTGGTTACCCATATCAAAAGAGAAAGCTAATAAAAGGAAAATACCACTATTCGTAAGTCTGTAACATATCGAGAATACATCATTTAAGTTTTTAAATAACATTCATATAAAATCAGAAGTTGCTGTTTATTGAGAGTAAACTAAATGTAAGACCAAATACTTATCATGTCGGGATAGTATTATCAGATTTTTTTTTTGATTTTTTCGTCATGATTTACTATGGAAATGAAATCACTAACAGGAGAATTTTACTGTCATCATGGCATGTAGTTGTCTTTTTAAAAACGAATCACATGCTATGATTTTTTCTGGCTCAAGTTAAAGTTGATTTCATGTAATCGAATGAACTATATTACAACAAAGTCGTCCCAGGAACGCAACTCAGCAATATCGGCAACAGATAAAATTTAATTATTAGATGAATTTTTCACCAAGTAACAAAAAACAATTTTTTTAAATTTATTAATGTGTGCGGCTTCCATTGTGGCTTAATGTCATTAAAGTAATAATTATTTTAAGATGCCACAAGCAAATAGCCGCAGAACAATTTTCAAAACACACACCCATTCATTTTTAATCGAATTTATTCCATTCGATTGATAAAGATCTTTTTTATAGATGAGCTTTATTAGAGCCGATTGTTCGAACGCTAATCAAAACTTGATTGTAATAAAATATTTAATTATACTCAAATACGTCACAGCAGCTGTCAAAATGATTAAATATTGCTTATTATTATTAATTTGTAAATAAAAACATGAAATTAACATCAGAAAGAGATTAATTATGGTTTATTTTAAATTATAACGCAAAATAATAAAATTGAATAAAATAAATCAGTCAACATAACCCCAAAATGTGACGTATTTGATTTTAATTAAATATTTGATTACAATTAAGTTTTGATTAGCATTCGAACAATTGGCCCTTAGTCTTAATTGTCCCAGTGACACTTAAAAACTGATTTAAAAGGTAATTTAAAAATTTACAGAGCAGTTTTTATGTTCTTGTGGTAGAATGTATATAGTCCGTCGGATTTCAATAGAAAGTTGAACAACGATTTTATACCTTATGTTGTATGCTATATGAGATAAAAAAAAAAAGGAAATTTTCAGCTCAACCAGGGTGCGTTTTTTGCCTTCCATTGTGCCTTTTTTGTAGGTTCCTCATCGTAAAAACTAACAAACCTTCAAGTGGCACGAAGGAGAAAATCGCAGACACTGACCTAAGAACATTATATATTCCGGTCATAATTAACACCCTTGAGGCATCAGTAGTCCTTATGTCAAATTTTTGTGAAATAGAATCCATACTCCTCTATCGATTCGTGAAATATCATAAGGGAGAAATTTTTTTACAAAAAAAGATTTTTTTACAAAAGAAAACTCAATTTTTACGTAAATGCCACAGTAAAACCCCAGTTTTGAGATATCTTATCTCTCCTTGATTTCATCTTTCATTACTCTCAGAAGTATTAGGGATAAGATAGTAATCGAATTTCGTAGGAAATACGATGATCAATTAATTCAATCGATAGACAAAACATAATATATATTAGGATAATATTAATACAATAACTAACTACTACTGTAATGTTATAACTACAATGTTCAAAAGTATTAATAAACCAATAACTGAGTACGCATCAGAATGTAAGAATTCCTTCAAATAAGAATTGGCAGGATGCCTTAATAACACATGGCGACACAGACACATTAACACTGTGATGAAGTCAAGAATTTATAAAGCCTTAGAAACAAGACCCAACACAGCCACAACACAAAGGATACTGGAAAGGGCAGAGATGAGAATACTGGAAAGAA